ATATTCCTGAGTGTTTTTGTGTATATCCTTAAAAAAAGAAAGAAAGAAAGAAAGAAAGAAAGAAAGAAAGAAAGAAAGAAAGAAAGAAAGAAAGAAAGATTTCAATTTGTAAATTCCTGGAGCCTTGCTTTTTGCCAGTGCCTTCATTGCAGCTTAGACTTCTTTCTTCACTACCATCAATTCTTGATCACATGCTACAGCTTGAAATGGTTGAGCATCGATCAATTCTTTTTGATACAATGACTCTCTTTATTCTTCTCATCTTCTTTGATGCTTTCTGTATAATTCAATATTTTGCCCATATTGTGAGGCAAAGCTTGAATTTTTTCTTCAGCTTGAGAAATGCTGAGAGTGTTCTTCCTTTTTGTTTCCCAATGACAGATCTTTGCACATTTTATTGTAATACTTAATTTTGTCTTCTTAAGCTGATCTTTGACATTTTCTCTCCAACTTTTCCCCCTTCATTTTCTTCCATTCAATTTAGTTTCTCTTTGCTTAAGAGCACGGTTCAGAGGCCTTTCTGACATCCAGTTTTGCCTTCTTCTTTTCCTGTCCTTTTAATGATCTTTTGCTTTCTTCCTGTTTGAAGATCTTGATGTCATCCCAAAGCTCTTCTTCTCTTTGGTCATTGCTCTGTTCATGTCAGTGTAGTCAAATCTACTTTAAGGAGGCAGCTTTTTCCCAGTCATATTTTGGGTGACTTCCAACCTGAGGGGTTCATGCGACAATATCTAACAATGTTCTACTGCTATTCATAAGGTTTCCAGTGGCTAACCATTGTAAAAGTAGTTCATATCTCCTTCTTCCTATACTGTCTTAGTCTGGAAGCTCCATGAAACCTGCTGGCATTTAATATTCTGGGCAGCATAGTTTTCAGCATTATACAACACATAAGCCACCAGAGAATGACAAATTGGTAGATTAGTGGTGGACAATACTTATGGTCATGCAATATTAACTGTCTGTAGGAAAATCACCTCAGTGATTTAATGCAGAATTGACTGTAGAAATTTAGAATTAACATGAATTTACCTTAAATAGGGAATCCTGGTGTGGTGCTATAAGATAGGCACTAGACTGAAAGTTTGGTTATAGCTGCAGGAAAGGCGATTTAAACTCATCAGCTGCTCCTCAGAAATCGTAGGGTCATTATGAGTTGGAACTGACTCTACAGTACTTAACGACAACTTTAAATATGAGGAATATTATCATAGAATCCTTTTTTGTGTCCTCTGTCAGCTTCTCTGCTTCTTAATTACAGCTCCCCCCCAATAATTCCACCACTTTTCTGTCAGTTTGTTGTATTGTAATGACTGTGTGTTGCTGTGACGCTGGAAGCATCACAGTATTTTAAATATCAGTAATATTAAATATGCCACCAGTATTAAATATGCCACCAGTATTAAATATGCCATCAGTATTAAATATGCCACCATTATTAAATATGCCATCGGTATTAAATATGCAGTATTAAATATGCCACCAGTATTAAATATGCCATTAGTATTAAATATGCCACCATTATTAAATATGCAGTATTAAATATGCCACCAGTATTTTAAATATCAGCAGGGTTACCCACGGTGGACAGATATTACTGGGACTTTCAGACTAAGACAGATAAGGAGGAAGGAGAGGCAGATTACTTCGGAAGGGTTAGCCAATGAAAACATTATGAATAACAGAGGAACACTGTTTGATACCATGCCAGAAGATGAGTTTTTCAGTTTGGAAGGCACTCAAAATACTACTGGGGAAGAATTGCCTTCTCAAAGTAGAGTTGACCTTCATGATGTGATGGAGCAAAGGTTTGGGGCTATTAGTTTGCTGATGGGATACAACTCAAAATGAAGAAACAGTTATGAGCATTCATTAGTAATTGAGACATGGTATGTATGAAGTATAAATCCAGGGAAACTGGAACTCTTAAAAAACGAAATGTAATGCATGTCCTAGGCATCATTGTTATTGCTAAGTGCCGATGAGTGTATTTCCGACCCACAGCAACCCTGTATAGGGTTTCCAAGGAGCGGCTGGTGAGTTTGAACCACTGACCTTGCAGTTCAACTGACATTGCAATCTGACACATTAGCCCACAATGCCACACCAGGACTCCTAGGCATTAGTGAGCTGAAATGGACTGGTACTGGCCATTTTGAATTGGTTTACTATGGTGTCCTGGCATGGCATTAGATTGCCTACCAGCAGCTCCTCAAAAATCCTATACAGGGTTGCTATGAATTGGAACTGACTCGATGACACTTAACAACAACATACACATCACTTAATAATATGAACATTATAAGATCTATCATCGTAAGTTTGGGGGAATTAATGAGTGATCAAGGAAAAAAGATATGAACACAAGATAGCAGCATTGCACAGCTATTTATTGGGTCCAGTGCAGTGACAGCTACCTTTTGGGGCAGGATTCTAAAGATAAGCAGTGCGGAGAACTACCAGAAAAGGAAGCTGTTGTTGCTGTTAAGTACCATCAAGTCGGCTCCCACTCATAGCGACTCTGTATAGAGTTTCTGAGGAGTGACTGGTGAGTCTGAACAATGGAACTTGTGCTTCAAAACCAGCCTTCTGGTCCAGTGCTTACTTTACAGCACCACACCAGGACTCCAGAATGGGAAGAAGGCATCCAAACTCCCAAGGAAGAGCAGACGGTGTGTGTGTGTGTGTGTATGTGTGTTATGTACCTTAAGTGATGTCCTTCTGCAACAAAGTGGGAAGTCTCTGAGTTAGAGAGCTCTGAAGACCAGCAGCATCCTAGGGTCCTTATAGCTACAGGGTTTTATCCTAGCTTGAGCTAGCAGATGCTGGGTGCAGTTTTGCAAAATATGCAAAGTTGGTAGGCTCCATGTGGCTAAAAGTCTGCTTATTTGGGCTATTAAGAAAACAACCGGCTGTATAATTTTGGTTTGGCACTAGTGGGCATTTTGGGTGAATGAGCCTCAGCTAGCTCTGAAACAGTAAACAACCTGGGGTCAATATATAAAAACCAATTTTGGTTCATTTATATAATATATATGAAATATAGATATGAAAGAGTGGGATGAAATATTTTTAAAGCACATTTTCAGGAGCTTGTTCAAGTTGTTGGCCTGTTAGTGAACATTCGTTTAGTTAAAATTATATGATATATTCTATAACTTTGCTTAACCAGCCAAAGAAAATAGCAATGTCTTGTGATCATCAACACATAAAACGAGTAAGAAGTCATCATCATTCTTCAATATAGTAAAGTACAAACAGAAATATTAATGGGATAAGAGTTTCTGTTGACTAAATCTTAGTAAAGCTGACCTTATGTCTAAGTTTTAAAGACAGAAATAGACATAAAAAGCATCTTTTTTTTTTTTTTTAAACTTAAATCTACCCAGGGCTATGCAAACTTCAATTTGATAACACTGCACTTTAGATGTATCTTCTTAGGTGTCATCTGCTACGGCACTTCAAGACAATGCACTGGACCGAAAGGTTGGTTTGAACGGCACGGTCGGCAGTTCAAACTCACACAGGGTTTCTTTCTATGAGTTGGAACTGACTCAATAACACTAATAACAACAGGAAGTCCTCAGTGAGGTTGGGGCTAGGATGGGTGTAATGCTGAGGGAGCATGATGGTGTAAGTAGGCAGAATTTGGGGCTCCTATTGGACTCCTGGTGTGGCACTGTGGGTCAATGCACTGGATTGCAAAGTAGGTTTGAACTGCAAGGCTGACAGTTTAAGCTCACCAGCTGCTCCTCAGAAACCCTGTACAGGGTCACTATGAGTCGGAACCAACTCGACGGCACTTAATAACAACAACCCCTACTACTGAAGTCCTGGTGTGGCACTGTAGGATAAGCACTGGACTGCAAGGTTGGTGGTTCAAACTCGCCACCTGCTCCTTGAAAACCCTACACTGGGTCGCTATGAGTTGGAACTGACTCACTGGCACTTAACAACAACAACGACCCCTACTACTGTTATGGTGTTGTAGGATCAGCACTGGATTCTGAACCACAAGGTCGGCAGTTCAAACACACCAGATGCTCCTCAGAAACCCTTTACAGGGTCATTGTAAGTCACAACCAACTCAAAGGCACTCAACAACAACATCCCTACTACTAAGGAGCAACTGACCCAAGCCATGATATTTTCAATAGCTTTATATGCCTGTGAACGTTGGACAACGAATAAGGAAGACCATAGAAGAACCGATGCATTTGATTTATTGTGTTGGAGAGGAATATTAACAAATACCATGGATTTCCAGAAGAACAAACAAATCTGTGTAGGAAGAAATACAGCTTGAATGCTCCTTAGAAGTAAGGGGGGTGAGACTTCATCTTTCATACTCTGGACACACTATCAGGAAGGACCAGTGCCCAGAGAAGGACATCATGCTTGGTAAGGTGAAGGGTGATAGAAAAAGATGAAGACCCCCAAAGAGATAGATTGGCACAGTGTCAACAGTAATTGGCTTAGCATAGCAACTATTGTGAGGATGGTCCAGGACTGGAACCGACCGAATGGCACCTAACGACAACAACATCCTTACAACAGCTAAAGAAACTCCACCTTAATTTATTTTACATACTGAGCTTTCTGATAAGTTTTAATTTGAACAAATGTTTTTACATGCTTGTAAACTTTCTCTGGAGAAGCTTAGAAACACCTGACCCAGAATTATGACAAATATCTGAAATTTAACACTGAATGGCAATGTTGTAAAGATAACCATTTACTAGAGAGCAAATATACCAGCTTCATAAGTTCCAGGATCTTCATTTTTTTGTTTTGTTTGTTACATGAAAAATCACAGCCTTAGAGATGAGCTACTTTGAAAAAAGGTTTGGAATATTCATATGAACCAAATAAATGCATTGGTAAAACACACATTCAATATTTTTTTCATAGTTTAGACATTTAGTAAAACTTTTTTTTAAAATTTATTTTTTAACATTATAAGAAACATAATATTAAAGCAAAACATAAAAAAAGGATATGGTTCTTGGAATATCTCAGTGAGTTTAATCTTTGTTTGTACAGAGGTTTTGGGAATGCCAGCTAGCTCATGCATCTTAAGATAGTTTAAAATCAGTGGACTCTGACTTCCAAAATTGAAGAGGACACGTTTAAACTCTGGGCCAGTGCTAATATAATGGGACTGTAAGGGAGAAAGTCAAGTCAATTATTACTTGTAAAGCATTGTAAATTGAACATAGCTGCATTATAACTATAGATAAAATTCTATTTGATATGTTGAGATAGAAGAAAGTTCTGCAATATTATTATGTCTTCCAGAATATTTTCCCATCCAATGAAATACTTTAAATTTTTTTTGACCATTGGTTTTAGAGGCCTTTGCCATCTTAATTACTTTCTGCTCAGACTGCTTCTGTTTATCTACATTCCTTTTATAATGCAGGGCTCCAAAATGAACATATTATACCAATTATTGTCTGATCACAGAATAGGTTTTGGGATCAACCGCATCCTACTATTGACTCATACTGAGCTTTTTATTAAAAGTGATTTTAAATATTTTTCAGGAATGCTGCTTGTAGGCTAAAGCTCTATTATCCCATACATCACAGTTGTAATTTGGACTTTGATACTTTTCTCAAAATGAATGTTCATCTTCTGAGATTAGGTCTATTACTCTAGCCTACTGGGAATTTTTGGTGATTCAGTATGTTCATGACTTTCCCAACCAGATGACTTCTAAATATACTTCTCTCTAGCTCATCAGAATGGCAGCCACATTTCTATTTAAGTTGGTGATAAAATAGTTTGCATAGGGCAGGGCCAACCAATACAATATATTATGAAAGATGAATCCCCAATTTGCCATCTATCTTCAGTTATAAATTTATCTGTCTCTATTTCTTCAACTTGTAAACAAGATACAAGAGATCATTTGTAGTGCTTGCTGAAGATGCGAAATACAATTTCTATGATATTTTCCTGATTTCTAATTCTGTGAAACATGGTGACATGGTCATTTACCCAAAAGTGACTCTTCAAGATTGCCAGCTTCTTTCCTAAGTGCTCACAAAGATTTCCTCAGCAGCATTATGAAGGTTGGAATAAAATTTAAAGAGAATCTATATAACTGGCTTATTAAAATGAGAAAATATGTGAATCTTGATGACTTCAGAAAATAGTTTTTATATAGCCATAATTTATCATTTAAAATAATTGGTTAGACCTTATCAGAAATTCATCCAAGATTTCAGCAACAAAGGCTAAGAAATTTAAAACCAAATTTACGTACAAGAGCTCAAATCTAGAATTTCAAGACAGAACCTTTTCTAATTTTAGCTAAAGCAGCATAAGATACAAGTTCATGGGATTTTTACTTTCAGGTATCTGTAGTAATGTGGAGCAACAAAACATTCAAAACTCAAACAGCATTAAATGTGGCCAGTTATTTCTGAATAGAGCCTTGGGAGATGGGACAGGACAATCACTGCTGATAGTCTTTTGAAGCTTGTCCTGCAAGTTGGACTTATGCTGATTGAGATCAGGGTCATACAAAACCATCTAGAAGTCTTTGTATATTAACTCAAGTAGAGACAGTGCCAAGAAGTATTGTAAGGAAAAGATAAACACTATATGCATACTTTTCATTAGTGATGAGGATAGATATTTTCAGAATAAAATAAGACTTTATATATAAAGGTTAACTCCCCAGTAATAGATTGTGATTTTTTTCTGAAAAGATAAGTGAAAAATGTAATAGCTACCACTGACAAGATGAAGTTGAATCAAACAGATTACACTGCAAATGAAAGTAGATGATGTTGAATCAAACAGATCATACTGCGAACAAATTACACTGTAAGGGCATTTTAAAAGTTACTATTTTCCAAACCTTCATTGCTGGCTTTAGTAAACTTGATTCCTTCTTGGATGTGGCCATCACATATGTTTTAGGGTTCTTTAAAATTTTTGTTATATCGAAGTTTATTGCTAAAAGAGAAGATATAGTATTTTTAAAAATTCTGGTAATTTTTCCCCACAAAAAGATTTATTACCTCTTGCTCATTTTATCAATGTAGAGTGTAAAGATGGATAACAGAGTGTTAGGATATTGTTATAGATGCCCCACCAAAAACCTAAGCCAACATACTGATATGTAGTCAGTTCTGACTCCGAGGACAGAGTAGAATTACCCCTTAGGATTTCTGAGACTGTAAATCTCTACTGGAACAGACAGCCCATCTTTCTCTTGTGGATTCTCTAGTCAGATAAAATGATGTATATTTCACCTTCTTTTTTTAAATTTTGTTTAAAACGAAATAGGTTTTTAGAGTTTATAAAATCTATTCACTTATCTTCACAAAAGAGTTCTGTGAGCTAAATGACATTTTCCATACTTTACAGATGAGAAAACAAAATTCAATCTATAAGTTTCTCTGCATTATTCAGGGACATACTGTACAATATGTTGTTGTTGTTGTTAGGTGCCATCGAGTTGGTACTGACCCATAGCGACCTTATGCACAGCAGAATGAAACACTGCCCCAATCCTGGGCCAACCTCACTACTGCTGCTTGAGTCCATCTCACAGGGGGTCTTCCTCTTTTTCTCTGACCCTCCACCTTACCAAACATGATATCCTTCCTTAGTGACTGGTCCTGTAGAATATAGCTTACTCCTGTACAGGGTCACTATGAGTCGGAACTGACTCCATGGCACATAACAACAACAAAATTTAGAACTGCTCTAAAAAGACACTTACATCTGGTATTGCATGAATGCAAGAGGAAATAAAGGAGAAGAAAAATTGGTAGCCATTAAGCAAAACGCATGCGATCTGAGAAGAAACAAAGCATGATTGGAATTTTGTTTCAATAATATAGAAAATAATAAGATGCTTTCAAAGAGATGATGGCACATCCATGAGTATACTCTTACTGTCTTATTGTGCCTATTTTATCATACTTCCCAGTTTTTAAAAGATATTTACACCTATATCTCCCCAAATTCTTACAATTTTTGTATATGCTGGTCCATCAGTGGTTTGTGTACCCATTAAATCTCAAATAAGTTTCACTTGTCTACTTATCTACATATAGACTCATCCTGTTTGCCATTCATGGTATAAATTGGCAAAACAAAACATTAAAGACTTCTTTACAATGCTATAAAATAAAATTCCTTCTCTTAGTGTGGTATCTTAACATTGTATATATTATTGTAAATAACTTCACAGAAAGGTATAAAATTCAAATAGTTATAAATGTACTTTCATAACAATCTGGGTATCATTAGCATTCTTTGGTTTCATGAACTCTGAACTAAATTTAGTATATCCAAGAACATGAGGGCCTTATAAGAAAATTATGATTCATATCACATTCGGTTGCCAAGGAAAATGCTACATTATTATTATTATTATTTTAATTTTTCATTTTTTGAGGGATTAATTTTTTATCATTTCTTTTAAAAATTTTTACTGTGGGTAAAATATATATAACAAAAGCTTTTCATTTTGAGCAACACAGTTCAGTGACATTGATTCCATTCTCGTATTGTAGTATCCTGACCACTATGATTCCCAAAAGCTTTTCATCACCCTAAACATAAACTCAGTACTCCTTTAACAATGTGCTCATCATAAGTATTTTAACTTCTCTTCATTTTCTATGTGCAAGGTTGCGTAGTCAATAAAACACAGGTAAACATCATTCTGGTATTCACTGCTTTCAGCAAAGATCCATCTGACGTCAGCAATGATATCCCCCCTTCCATATACTCTTCTGAATCTGGCTTGAACCTCTGGAAGTTCTTTGTCAATGTGTGGTTACAGCTAGTTTTGCAAAATCTTTAGTAAAACTTTACTTGCTTGGATATCAATATGTATATATTAATGTTTTATTGTGAATTATGTGATAGTTTACATGGGAGAACATTAGTTTTACATTCATCCTATCATATATTGTTTCATTGCCATGGTTACAATCCCCTCCATGCCTCATCAACCAACCAAAGGGTACACCCTGCAAGCCTGCCACCCCCCTCCCCTCACCTCGGTCATCAGCACACAGCCCCTCTCCCCCTCTGGGTCTAAAGTCCCCAGCTGCTCCATCTCTCCATGTCATCGTCTCTGCTTCCATTTCTGGCATCACTGCTTCTCTGGGTAGGGTCCCACTCTCCGCTCTTTTCCCTTGATGGTCCCAGGGACCTCTGTTCCTAGACTGAAAAGTTAATCACTCCCCTCCTTGCTATAAAACGTCTACCTTTACATTTCCAACCCTCACAATCATTCACTATTGTATCACAAGAGACCTATCCACATTTCTTTTCATCAGCCCTGCCTAGAAAGATTGGATACTACTTAGTGGAGATTCTACATTTCTCCATGCCCTCTGTATCTAGGTTCCCTCTTGAAAGCTTGTAAGCCAGTCACTTCTTGTGTTTGTAGCCACCCCCACCTTGGGTAGCCAATGTTGGGATATCAATATTGTCCGATGATTCCCACATTCTGTTGATATAATCTATAATTTATAACATAATCCTTCTTGGTATATATCCACAAGAAATAAGAGCCAGGGCACAATTAAATGTATACCATCTATGTTCATCATAACACTATTCACAATAGCAAAAATATGGAGACAGCCTAGATGCCCATCAATGTAAGACTGGACAAACAAACATTGGTACATGCATACAATGGAATATTATGCAACATTGAAGAATGATGATGAATTTTCAAAACACCTCATAACATGGATGACTCTGGAGGACATTATACTGCATGAAAGTAGTCAATTACAGAAGGACAAATATTGTATGAGACCACTATTGTAAAAACTCAAGAAAAGATTTTCATGCTAAAAGAAACATTCATTTAACATGAAAGAAGGAAGCCTTATGGGGTAAATTTAATGGGTATAGGGTATTGTTCTTGTTGTTCAGTGCTATTAGCTGGGTCTGACTCCTAGTGACTCTGCACAGTGTTTTCTGAGGAGCTGCTGGTGAGTTAGAATTGCCAACCTTACTTTTCAAACCAACCTGTGGCCCAGTGCTTATCCTACAATGCTACATCAGGACTAGAAGGGAGACTCATATTAACTGGGTTAAAAGGAAGGGTAATATACAAGAAGAGGGAGGTTGACAGAAGAATGGTGAAGACAGGTGAAGACACAGAGAGGTATGCAAGTGCTAATGGGGATAGAAGTAAACAGTACTATACATAGAACATTGGAACAAGAGTGTTCTGTGGGTTTGTGAGGAAAAGTGGGAATATACTCCCAAATATATAAGGGTTTGAAAGAGGATATTTATCTTTACTGCAAACAAACCTATAAATGTGATGAAGTGTACAGCGGGCAAAGTGATGAACACTTCTTTGAGATTATTAAACATCTTAAAGCAATTAATTGCTGGTCTGGGGACTCAGGACCACAGTCTCAGGGGATACTATGATTAATGGCATAACATAGTCCACAAAGACAATGTTCTACATCCTACTTTGGTGAGTATCATCTGGAGTGGCCATTAATGGTCATCTAAGGTACAACTATTGGTCTCTCCAGGTACAGAAGAAAGAAGAGTGTTAATAATTGAAGATGCTTAGAATCCATTAGTCCAAAGGATTAACGGAACATGTGAACATCAGTCTCCACTGCTCTGAGACCAGCAGAACTGGATGGTGCCTAGCTACCACTACTAACTGCTCTGAAAAGGACAGCATTAGAAGGTTCCAGATATAGTGTCAGAAAATGTAGAACAAAACTCAAAATTAAAAAAGGCCAGGCTTATTGGTCAAAGAGACTATAGGAATGCAAGATTATGTCCTTTGATCACCCTTCAGGTTTGGAAAAAATTCACTCTTATGGCCCAATTTTAAGCTAAGCAGTATATAGGGATATTGTTGTTGTGAAGTGCCATCGAGTTGGTTCCGACTCATAGTGACCTTGTATGGAGAAACTGATATGTTTGAACCACTGATCTTGCAGTTCACACTGACCTTGTAGTTCAGTACTTATCCTATAGCACCACATCAGGAATCCAGATAGTAATAGTACTAATAGGGTATGATCACCATGGAATTGTCAATCATTCAAAATCAAATGGGCAACATTTACCTAAGGACAAGTTGAGAAGGGGTAGGAAGTTGGGTGGAATAGAAATAGGAACCACAGGAAGCGGGATAACTGCTGTTGTATGGACAGGAATGCAATCATTGAGATGAAACAAAGTGTATGATTTTTTAAAATGTAAAATTGATTATCTTGTCTGTAAACCTTCCCTGAATTCACAGTAAAAAGTTAAAAAAAAAAGTAAAAGAAGGGAAGAAATTCAGTAATGGAGTGTATCCTTTGAACCTGTGTTGAATCTCCTTGATCCAGAAAAAAGAGCTGTGGCACCAGAGATGGTGAGAGATGGCAAGAAATAGCAGCAGAGAAGCAGTGGCAGAGAACTGGTGGTACCAGAGGCAGCAGAACCAGGAGATGGGCTGGAGATGGCACAATGGGCTTCCTGGGTCATGGAGTGAGAGAGTTGAGTGTCTTCAGGTAAGAAGCTTGATGGTGGCATGAAGTGTCTTTGAGTACTTTTTGACAGAGTTAAAAGAGCTTTTTAACACTTTCCCTGAGCAAAACCAAGGCCAGGGCCAGGGCCAGGGCCAGGGCCAGGCTGAGGGCTCAACACCAAAGAGAGATGTGCCTGCAGGCCTGTTTGTCCTGATTGAAGACCTGAAGACCTGTAACCTGAGCATTCCTGATTCTGAATTGTAACCTGTTACTTCCCTACTAAGCTGCATAATTGTGAGCATTGTTGTGATGGTGGGTGTCAGAATTGATAAAAGTTTGGAAGGTGGAGGCATGTTTGATCTCTACCTTGTAGATCATCCTTGGGCTGATGCTGATTTTCTCTTTCCCTTGTGAAGTTAGAGGTCAGATGATGCTGCCCCTGCAGTATTTTTACAAGTATGTAGGAAGAAACTGATTAAGAAATGT